CAACAACAACAAAAAATATGGTCTAATTTGTGGGACTGATTGAATGAATGACTTATCAACATGATAAATGGCACCAGTCATTGAAACATAAAAGCAATCTGGAAGGTTATTCATATTAATTCTTTGGTGAAAAGCAGAGGTTGTAAATTTTTTTTTGTAACTGTAAAACACACACTGCATAGAAAGAATATGGTACAGAAAACAATCACCTTTTAGTATAGTTGTGAGACATTTTTGCTTTTTTCTTTGTTTTTCTACAGTTTCATTGTAATTTCTAAAATAAATACACATTACTTTCATGAACTGGTAAAAAATAGACAATGAATGTGATTTAGAATGTGCTCTAGTCTGTAAGCAAAGAAGCTGCCATTCTCAGGTGGTGCTCATCTTAGGTAACAGCAACAATTAAAGCTAGCAATAAAGAGAATCAGGATTTCACAAAGCCAGATGGCTGGAATGGAAGCAAAAATTAGGTGACAAATGAGCTCAGATCTTAGTAAATTATACAATGTTTTCCATCCTCTGGTCAAACCATCATCTCTAAAACTAGACATATGACATCACAATTTGTCCCTCAAAAATGTGCCATCTATCAGTGGCTAATGCCTACAATCCTAGATACTTAGGAGGCTGAGATCTGAGGAGTATGGTTTGAAGAAGGCCTGAGGAAGGAAAGTCTAGGAGATTCTTTTTTTTGGGGGGGGGTCCAGTCGTGGGCCTGAACTCGGCCTGGGCGCTGACCCTCAGCTCTTCAGCTCAAGGCTAGCGCTCTACCATTTGAGTCACAGCGCCACTTCCGGCTTTTTTTTCTGCTTATGTGGTGCTGAGGAATCGAACCCAGGGCCTCATGCGTGCAAGGCAAGCACTCTACCACTGAGCCACCTTCCCAGCCCAAGTCTAGGAGATTCTTATATAGCTCAGGGACAGTGTCCAGGCCTTGGGTTCAAGCCCCAGAACTGACACAAAGAAAAAGAAATATGTCATCAAGAGGGTCATGCTCATCCTAAATATGACTAATCTATAAGCAGTGTTTGTGTTCTTTTTCTATAAAGAGTAAAATTAAGGTTGTATGTTTTTTTAAAAAAAAGTATTCTGAGTAAAACAATGGTGATGCAAAAAGATAAAAGAGGACAGTTTTGTGGATTAATCTCAGATTCTCATAATAAAAAAATAAATTCACAAGATATTTATTCATTCAATCTCTCTGTCATCCCATTTGTTTATCAGTTCATCTATTCCTCAGGCCATCTAACCATTAGTTCCATCAGACCTTCAAGTGGTCAGCACCCATTTCTCAGTGGCTCATATCCCACATTAATTGTCAGCTTTAGAATAGAGTGATCGAGAATTTAGTTCCTGCTCTTGCTGCGCTAATGCTCCAGTTTCCATTATCTCCTTTGTCAATGAGAATAGCTGACATTTTTCAGTGCCTATTACATCCCATGCTCTCTGTAAACATGAACAGCTATGGTCCCTATGGTCCTGGTGCCTGCGGGTATCCCGAGTGTCTGCCACATGCATGTGTAACAGACAGGGTCCATCCCTTTTTCCATCACTTTTGCAGGGTCTAATTCCAACTTTCCTTCATCAACTACTTCCTCCCCTACATCCTCTTCCAAGTTCAGCCTATGCATCACCTGGTATCTTTCAATGTATCACACTTTCACGTTCATCTTTTGTGCAGGTGTCCCCTGCCTATGACACACTAAACACTCATTTGGTTTTCATTCTTGATCCTGGCAAAGAGAAATGACATAAAACAACAAATATGTATTTGTTCGGCTACCTTGTTCCTGATACAACACTCCCCAAAATCCCTTGTAATTCTCCCACTCATCTGGTTGAACCACTACTAAATATCCCCATGCTGCTGATCACATATATGGTATATAACATGTGAACACCGTTATATGTTACATACTGTGATAGACAATTTGCTCCAGGAAAGTTAGAATGAACTTGTGACTTTAAATGAGCATCATTATTCCACAATACTGTGAAATTCCGGAAATTATGTAATCACTTAATCACAATCAAAAAAAAAAAAGAACCTTGGGGAAGGAAGGGAGGGAGGGGATGGTAGGGGGAAAACAATGGAGGGGGTAACAATGTTCAAGAGGAAGTGTGCTCATTACCTCACTCATGTAACTGTAACCCTCTGTATAGTATCTTTACAATAAAAAAAAATAACCTTCAAAAAAAATCCCTTGTAATTGCCATGCTGATAGAGGAGCACCTTTTTGTTCTATTAGTCTTTGGCCCTGGTTCATGATAGAGTACCTAAATTCCTTGGAAAGGTTAGGAAACAACCTTTATCCAATGATACAGTTCCCAACGGGCTCCTGAACAGCTTCAGAATGGAGCTAACATCAGAAAGGTCAAGCTATGGGGCTGGGAAGGTGGTTCAGTGGTAGAGCGCTTGCCTTGCCTGCATAAGGCCCTGGGTTTGATTCCTCAGCACCACATAAGGAAAGAGAAAAAAGCCAGAAGTGGCACTGTGGCTCAAGTGGTAGAGCACTAGCCTTGCTGAAGAGCTGAGGGACAGCGCCCAGGCCCAGAGTTCAGGCCTCACAACCGGACCCAAAAAAAAAAAAAAAAAGAAAGGTCAAGCTATGATCAGAAAGGTCATAATCCCATCCTCTAGGATAGAGAGAGGGATTGAAGACAGCGTTAATAACCAATCATGCCTATGTGATAAGCTCCATAATAACTATTAAAATAGGTGCTTCAGAAACATTCCAGGTTGCTGAGTGTATCCATGTGCCAGTACGGTGGTACACCCCAACTCCACAGGTATTAAAAACTCCTATACCTGGGACTCTTCCAAATCTGTTCATGTTCCTCTTTATCTGGCTATTTATCTGTATTCTTTACCATATTCACTGTAATAGGCAAACGAGCTTGAGCTTGTTTCTCTGAGTACTGTGAGTACCATTTTCTATTTCTATCATAAAATACTGAAGGTTGAGTGTTTTTACAGTTTGGGAGGTTGAAAGTTCAAAATCAGGTTGGCTCCATCTGCCTACCCTCTGATGAGGGCCTTCTGGCTATGTTAGCACATGAGGGTAACAGCACAACAAGAATGTGTGTGAGACCATTGAATAGCACATGAGAAATAGAGGTCCCGAGGCCAGAGGTGAAGGAAAAAATGAGACGAGGAAGCTAATCATGCTTCCTAACAGCCAGCTCTCACATGAACTAATCCAGTCCTACAAGATGGTAATCCAATCCTGTTGGTCTCTTGATAAAAATGGCTTTGTTCATAGGCCAGATCCTTATGCCCCCAAGTGTTTTAAAGGTACCATTGCCACAGTACCATTACATTGGGGAATCCAGCCTTAACTTGAGTTCTGAGGGGAACAGACTGCATTCTAACTAAAGCAGAGAGGACAAAACAAAGGGAAATCAGATGCCTAGAAGACTGCAAGTGGCTCTGAGCAGACTCTCGAGTTGAGACATGTGTCAGAGTGACACTCTCTGAGCTAGCTCAATGCTCCAGCGAAGTCCAAACCCCACTGTGGGAGTTCCCTCTGCCTGAGGGGTCATTTTCAATCTCACTTCTAACCTAACCTTGTTTGACTCCAGGCAGATGCTATCTGCCTATTGGTTGAAGGGACAGCCAGCTCCTAGAGCTTCAGGTAGAAACCAGAAACCTGACTTGGCAGGTCATTGAAAAAGGTTGCTGTGGGGCTATGCCCTACCTGCCTTGAAGAACCCCGGGCCCTTGGCCCAGTGGGCTGTGATGTCAGTGGAGGCTTATTCTCCATTCTCTTTATTTTCCACATGAACTCCTACACAGTATCCCACAGGAACAAAGCAGCATGTCCACCACTTCCATCTCCAAGATAGACCTATTGTAACTTAGCCACTATACGAGAAATGGTCATGCTGGCTTTCAAATGAGCCAACACCACTGTTCATGGAGGAAACCCTCAGGATCTCACAGCAGCTCCATTCCTTACCCCATCCTTTCGAGAGGACCCCAACATTGATAAAGGAAATCAGGTATCAGGATTTCCAAAAATGTATCCTTCCCCTTTTATATGCTATAGGTCCCCTTGACTTATTCTTAATCTCCTCTGAAATGAGCTTCAAACTCTTTTCCTCTCTTTTACGTCTTAGGCAATATTCAATTAATTTAGGCAATGGCTCAAGAAGGGCTCCCTCCTTCCATCCGTCTATAAAAGGTGTCGCCTGGAGGCTGCAGAGGATGCTGTGTCAGCCACATTTGGATGAACTGGAAATGGGGTTGTTATTTGAGCCAAACCCAGATTGTTTTCACAGCTAATTGCCTCAATCCTACCTGGTCACTGACTCACAAGTCATAACTCCATATGTGTATCCTGTCCATAAAGAAATGTTTGGGGCCCATGTTATCACTGATTCTGGATACCCACAAAGGTGCAAAGCTTTCTGACTGCTGCACATGACTCTGCTCTCAGAATTGGGAGAAAACTGGACACAGAGTCCAGCTCTTCTCAGATTCCCCTTAACTCCTCAACAATTTCTGTCAGGAATTTTCTCACTGTATCATCCATTCTGAAGCTTGGGGCTCAGGACATGGTGAGTATCTCTAAACGCTCTGTCTCTGCCTCCTTCTCAGGCAGTAAACCCCTGAGGTCATTTCTGTATTCTCCCCAGGGGATAAAAATACCAGAGTAGACCTTTCACCCACTTCTTCATCAACCTAAGTCTGCCTTTCCCATACTAACCACTACAATCCAGCTTGATGACTTTTTCTGGGGGCCTCCATGGTTAGGTACTATGGGTGAGCCTTTATAAGCATGGTCTTTCTTGTCAGTCCTCAAAACATCCTATAAGGGAACATATATGGACTACAGGTTAATAAGGAAGAGTTCAGAGACAAAGGAAGCCAGAATTTCCATCAGGCTATATATCCTTGCTCTGCCCATCACACAGTGCTCCCATGTGCATGGATGGGTCCACTGCAGGTCTAGTACCCTTGCATGTCCATGAAGCTGCTCAGCTTTGGGACTCACCATGCCTCCAGTGCACTCGCGGCAATCCTGCAGGCAGTGGATATTTTCCCAGGTACTGTAGGCCTTCAGTCCTGCCACCAAAGCCTGCAGGGAATGATTATTGATGAGATCTTTCCCTTGGAAGATGTCCTCATCCAGGAGGACTCCAGCATACCTGAAGGACAAAGCAAAGATAGATGATGTAGTGGTGTAGCCAGCTATGTAAGAGAAGCTCCAGGGGAGAGTAGCATCTGGCATCTGAGGGCCTCCCCATGCTCTTCAGATCTGCTACCCTGCACCATCTCAAAAGGAATAGACACTAAGGTATTACATAATACGCATGACTCTCAAAGCAATATGGGAGTCAAAACTGGTATACTGTATATACTGTACAGTCCCATTTGCATAACATCACATCTATAATGTCACAGAGGAGGTCATTGGTTACCTTGGGATATGAACAGAGGAAGGATCAACTACAAAGAGGCATAAAGCAAATCTGAGAGGATGCGGGAAATGCTTGGTAGCTTGATATTCTCATGGTTGTAGACACTTGTCAAATCTGTTTACATTGGTACACTTTGAATGTAGTCTAATATAAATAAATTATTCTTGATACTATTGATAGGGAAAATAAAATTAAAATAGCAATGAGGTTCACAATATATCTAGAAGATAAATTTAGAACAAGATATATATCTTTATATTCCAATATATCTTCATATATACGAATGTCAACATGAGCGCAAAAGTCAGAAGAGGAGAGAAGTATACTGAAAGTATACTGTTTGAAGGTTCCTACATCATGTGTCATGTGATACAAAAGTAGTCAGAGGTATAGTTATTATTTTTTCTTTCTTTTTCTTTTTTTTTGCCAGTCCTGGGGCTCAAATTCTGGGCTTGGGTGCTGTCCCTGAACTCCTTTTTGCTAGTGCTCTATCACATGAACCAAAGCGCTACTTCCAGCTTTTTCTGTGCTTAATTGGAGAGATGAGTCTCATGGACTTTCCTGTCCAAACTAGCTTTGAATGGCTATCCTCAGATACTCAGACTCCTGAGTAGCTAGGATTACAAGTGTAAACCACTGGTACCAGGCTGGGAGGTGTACATTTTAAGTTCTAGAGAAATCATCAAGAAATAATAATGTTTATATCTATAAGATATTTCTTCGTTGCTTTGTATGTCCCTCCCCCACAATATAACCCCTGTTTTCACTGTTTTTGATGCTGGTATAATTTGTAGAGGAGAAGGGAAAAAACAAATTGTTTAAATAGGGATAGAGGTGGACCCATTGCAACAATGAGATGTACAAGATGTTATGTTGAAAATGAACTTTACAACTTTGGGGGGGGGAGGAAAGGGGAATGGGAGGAGCAGGGAAGGGATGGGAAGGGGAAACAAAGGAGGAGGTAACAATGTTTGATAAGAAATGCACTCATTACCTTGCCCATGTAATTGTAACCCCTCTCTATGGTATTTTCACACATAAAAAAGAAATAATAATGTTTAAAGGCTAACAGTAGAAAGCTAGTTATTCATTTTATCCAAGGAAGACAGTAGGCTGGGTGCCATGCCTGTAGACTTATTTACTCAGGAAGCTGAAATTTGAGGATCATGGTTAAATGCCAGCCTAGCCAGGAAAGTCCATTAGACTCTTATGGACTAGAAGTGCTAGAAGTGGAAGCATGGCTCAAGTGGTAGAGCATCAGCCTTGAGCAAAAAAGCTAAGGAAAGTGCCCAGGCTTTGAGTTCAAACCCCAGTATCAGAAAAAGGCAGTAGTAGAGGAAGAGGGAATGAAATACATGCGATAAATAGAAAACAAAATAAGAGGGGCTGGGAAGGTGACTCAGTGGTAGAGCACTTGCCTCACATGCCTGAAGCCCTGGGTTTGATTCCTCAACACCACATAAGCAAAAAGAAAAAAGCCGGAAGTGGCGCTGTGGCTCAAAATGTAGAGGGCTAGCCTTGAGCTGAAGAGCTGAGGGACATCACCCAGGCCCAGAGTTCAGGCCCCACAACTGGACCCCCCCCTCACAAAAAAAAAGAAAAAAAAGAAAACAAAATAAGATAATAGCTTTAAACTCAATCATATTGTTACATGGTAATATTTAATTTGGAGATTGTCAGATATGATTTTTTTAAAAAAACATGATTCAACCAAATAATGTCTGCAACGATCTGCCTAAAAATAAAAAGACAAAAGTTTCCTACAGAGAAGAGAAAGTAAGACTTTTTGTCAACAACACAATAGACTCAGTTGAAACCAGTGCAGTGCACATACAGGAATGTTCATTGGATAAAAGGTATCTAAGGGGCTCATCTATTATGAACTCCATTTATTGACAAGGATAGACCTTTGATGAGTCTCTGCAGATTGTGAAGTGCCACTCCACCATTTTTTCCCCTAATACTAATGAATTCTTATTTCATGCAAGACATCGGTCTACCTCTGCCCTGTTGTCTTGAGACATTAAATGACTGTATGTAAAGCCTTAGGACAGTAGGAAATCCTTGGTACATGGCAAACCATTGAATATGCTCTTACCTGAAGCTTATCCTTATAGGTTGAGTAGAAAGACTTCCCTAGACAAAAACTAAATGCAGGTGACAGACAGTGATACAGGTCATAATGGGGCCCCTCTGGGCCTGGAGCCCAGCCTAGCCTGCTTGAGCTCCCAATGTGGCCGCAAGTAAATAAGAGGCAGAGCCCAAAACAATTCTTTGGGCTAGTATAATAAAGTATACCTCTGGCCACTTTTGTATTAAATTAGTGTTATATGACAGATGATGTAGGAACCTTAAAACAGTATACTTGCAACCAACGTATTAGCCAAGTATAATATACAATCACCAAAAGGTCATTTCAAGAACTACCAGATGATATGATGCAACATTAAGAACCCATAACTTTTATGTTCATATAGGTCATAACTCAAGCTAAGAATACTGCTGCAGTGACAAAATAACCCAGGTCGCCTTTCCAAAGGGTTTATAAGGGGCTCCTCATTCCAAGAGTGGGTCTTTGGAGGCAGTTTTGAAGCAGTGACAACCTGAGTTGTGTCTCAGAAGATGGCTGACTCTAGATGGAGAAAGGAAACACTAAAGGGGTTGCCTATAAAGGATCCTGGGAAGAGGAGCAGGAGCTCAGGGACAGAGCGGGACATGAACCCTATCAGGAATCTATGTTTTGTGAAAAGCTCATCTGATGGGTTTATTGTACATTAAAACAGGTTGGGAGCTACTAAACACGAACCTTATGGTCCAAGGATTGTCTGGTTTAGATGAAGCAGGACTAGTAGGGCAAGGTCAAAGGGGGTGAGGGTATATGGAAAGAGAGAAGCTTTGTCAGAAGTTAGTGAAAACCTCAGGTGGAAATGATGAGGTCAAAAGAAATGTCACAATTTTAGAATAGAGAAAGAGGGCAGATACGGTTTGTTCCCTGAATAACACAAAGAAAAAAAGTAAAAAAAAATACCAAAAAGAATCAAGAAAAAAATAACATCAAGAAAAAATTATTTCCTATAATTACCTGAGAGCAAAGATAACAAGAAGGCTTGATGAACTGATGAGAGACACCATAGAGCCTATGTTTCTTTGGGTCTAGCTTACTTTACTTAATATGATTTTTTCCGTGTTTCCATTTCCTTACAAAAGGGGCAATGTCATTCTTTTTGATATATATTTGTGTATATATACCAAATTTTCTTGATCCATTCATCTATTGAAACTTCAAACTCTATTATAAAACTATAGTTATAAAAATAGCTTGGTCAGAAAAAGTCAAAAGCTATGTACATATGACCATATAAGATGATGCTAAGCAAAATGAACCCCAGGATAGGGACACAAGGAGTTTTTTCTTTGTTGCTGTAATTTTTAATGTACTATGTGATTAGGAACCCAAGATATGGACACAAGAGATCTTTCTTTGTTTTTGTTGTTGCTTTTAATTCACTATGTGATTTTTTTGTTTCTTTTGTATGTTCTTCCCCCATGGTATAACCTCTGTTGTCACTGTATTTGATTCCGGTGCCTTGTAGCTTGTATATACATTTTTATAATTTGGGGAGGGGAAGGGAAACAACAAAATGCTGAAACAAAGTTGACCCATTATAACAATGAGATGTACAAGACATTCTGTTGAAAACAAACCTTACAACTTCTGGGTGGTGGGGGAGGGAGTAGTTGGGGAGGTGGGGAGGGAAGGGATAGTAGGGGAAAAAACAAAGGAGGGGATAACAATGCTCAATAGGAAATATACTCATTACTTTACTCATGTAACTGTAACTCCTCTGTACAGTATCTTTACAAGAAGAAAAATTTTAAAATAGCTTGGTACTGGCACAGAAACAGGCCTGAGGACCAATGGAATAAAACTGAAGACCCAGACATGATCCCACAGACCTATGGCCACCTAATATTTGATAAGGGGGCCAAAATTATCAGTTGGAAGAAAGACAGCCTCTTCAAAACTGATGGTGGAAGAATTGGCTATATACATATAGAAAATTGAAATTAGATCCTTATATACTCTGCACCAGAATCAACTCCAAATGGATCAAAGACCTCGAGGTAAAAGCAGAGATCCTGAAAATATTACAGGAAGGGATAGGGGATATGCTAGGGCTCCTCAGCCCAGGTTGAAACTTCCTAAATAAAGATCCAGAAACACAACAAATCAAAGAAAAGCTGGATAAATGGGATCACATTAAACTGCAGAGCTTCTGCATGGCAAAGGGCATAGCTAGCAAGATAAATAGAAATCCCACAGATTTGGAGAAGATCTTCACTAGCTATACAACAGACAAGGGTCTCATAGCAAAAATATACATAGAGCTCAAAAAATTAACTTCCCCAATAACAAATCCCCAAAGAAACAACCGTCCCATTAATAAGTGGACCAAAGACTTAAAAAGAGGCTTCTCTGGAGAGGAAATAAGAATGGCCAATAGACACATGAAGAAATACTCAACATCGCTGGCCATACAAGAAATGCAAATCAAAACAGCATTGAGATTCCACCTCACCCCAGTTGGCCATTATCAAGAAAACCATTAATAACAGATGCTGGCAGGGATGTGACCAAAAGGGAATACTACTACACTGTTGGCAGGAATGTAAGCTGGTTCAACCACTCTGAAAGGCAGTATGGAGGTTCCTCAAAGAACTAAACATAGAACTCCACCTATGATCCAGCAATCCCACTCATGGACATTTATCCAAATGATCACAAGCTAGGTCACACTAAAGCTACCAGCACAACTATGTTCATTGCAGCATTATTTACCATAGCTAAGATATGGAACCAATCCTGAATGCTTTTTGAAGTTGGTGCTCACAGGACTTTTTAAAAAGGTATTCAGTACCAGGGGAAGAATGGAATAAAGTTCTTGGTTAATTACTTGAACAACATGCAGTGTATATATGTCCTAAGACAAAACAGATTGGAATAGGAGTTGGTTTGAGCTAAAAATTAAGAGTTCCTTTCTGAGATTAATTTTTATATGTTTGTTAGACATCCTGAGGTTTATGTTCGGTAAAAGGCTGGGGCTCAGGGAAAAGTTCAGTACAGAATATCTATCTCATTGGCATTACCAACATTTAGATGCTCATCAAATCCACAGCCCAAAATGAGTGTACAGTAAAGAGAAAAAATAGTGCCCCATTCAGAGTTGGGAAAGGGAGGAACCAGAGATGGAAGCTAAAAAGAAGAAGACTCTGGAGAGTTAGTGCTCTAAAAGGCCAGGAATACAATTCATTTTTAGGAGAGAAAATAAATGTTTGTGAAAAAAATATGGCATCAGTTAGAAAACTGATCTTCACAAAGAAATTAAGTTTTGGAAAGGGAATAAATAAGAGTATATAATTCAATTTTCCTCAGTTTTAATTGTCTTAAAACAACAATTTTTTGAAAAAAATAACAACTAAGCTATGTCGCTTTAGATTTTCCATTTTTAGAAAAACAGGTGAAATTAATTCCAATAAAATAGTCTAGAATCCTAAGAAAGTGGAAACATATTAAGTGTTTGTAGCATATTTAAGAGTGAAATACACTATATAATTTTACTATAGCTCAAAAGATGGGGAGATAAGTTAGGAATTCACTGTTTAAGATTATTATACTACATGGGTAAAAATGAAAGTTATTTGAAAATAACCTTTGATTCATTAAAAATACATATTATAAAAGCTGGGCCAACAATTAAAATGTGTGTGGAAAATATAAAAATGTCATGCAAGTGACACAGTGGAATAATAAACAATAGCTCATTCACTCAAGAGCTGTCAAAAAGTAAAAAGAAACACAAACAGATGAATAAATTGAAATTCAGCTTTAGCTTGATAGACTTAAATCCAAACATATCAATAATTACTTTAAATGAAACTGGCCTACTCAGTAGTTTAAAGTCAAAGATTGTCAAGTTATAAATAAAAAGCAGGATTCCATTATATGCAATTAACAAGAAACTCACTTTAAAGATATAAGTGGGTTAAACTAAAAGTATAAAGAAAATACACCATGAAAACATTAAACAGAAGATGCTTAGAATAAAGGACAAAATGGCCTTGAGGATAGGAAATATTTTTCAGAGATAAATAAATTACCTAATGTCAAAGCTTCAATTTTCTAAGAGGAAGTACAAGTCCTATGCATGGATGCACCTAAAAATAACTTTCAAAATACTGTAAGCAAAAATTGGTAAAACTTAAAGAAGAAATGGACAAATTAATCATTGAAAAGTCAGCCTTCTCTCATTTATTGAAAGACCAATTATGCAGAAAATCACTAAGAATATACATTTTTGCAAAGCATAATTAACCAACTTGATCCAATTAATATTATAAAATTCTTTGTTAATTACATAAAAATACATATTTGCCTCAAGTGTACATGTAACATTATATATAAATGGGCATGTACACTCATACACATATATGCAGCACAGGCAAACACACAGACACACACACACACAGGCACACACAATGGTCATGAGTTCATAAAGAACAAAATTCATACAGCGGATGTTCTTGGAGCACTAAATAATGACAGCACTAAATAATCCATGAGCCAAAGGGGAAGTCTAAACAAAAATATTAAACTATTTTAATTTAAACGAAAACACAGCATACCAAAAGAAGCAATATACAGCTGCAATGCTTCAAGGGAAATTTTAGTATTAAATGATTATGGTATATAAGAAAGAATGTGTCGATATCATAATTTAATCCTTCACCTTAAGAGAGAGACTGAGAGAGGGCACAAAAGAGTATGGATTATATCAGAGCAAGCAGAAGGAAATTAATAATACTGGGGGTAGATAGCAATTAAATTTAAAACAGCCAAATACCAGTGACTCACAACTATAATCCTAACTACTCAGGTAGTAAAGTTCAGGAGGATCAAACCAGGAGGCCAACCAGGGGAAAATGTTTGGTATATCCTATCTCAACCAATAGCTGGGCATAGTTGTGTACACTTGTTATCCCAGGTACATGGGAAGCTAAGATCAAAAGAATTGCAGTTCCTGACAAGACAGGCAAAAATGCTTAAGAGACTTCATCTCAAAAGCAAAGGCTGGGCATGATTGTTCAAACCTATCAGACTCAGCTATGGGGAAAAGCATAAATAGGAAGATCAGCCTCTGAGTCTGTCAGCCCAGCCTATAAGTGTTTGGCCCTCAGGTGCCTTTTCTACCATACTAGAAAGCTATTCCTCATCTATTCATGATTTCTGAGTAGAGCAAGGAAAGTCTAGCTATCTATTGTTGCTGTTCGCCCTCAGAAACTGGCAGTTTTTATGATGTTAGACACACACTTGCCCAAATACTCAGCAAGTCTTGTTTAGTTATTCACTCTTAGAAAATTAAAAAAAAACCTGTACAAAGCTATTCACTGTGGCTATTTATTGTAGCTTAAAGTCTGAAAGCATCTGAGATATATGGCAAATTGTGATCATTTTATGTTTCTTCTCAGTAATAAAATTAACAAACTAGGGGCAACACTGAGGAACATCAAGACATTGTGTTGAAGAAAATACACTGGAAACAAAAGGAAATGGTGTGATTTCATTTGGGAACCATGGGAACAGAAATCAGAGAAAGCTACTTGTCTCTGCTATGGTACTGACTTGGAGTTCTTGACATAGGGTTCAACTCCAAGGAGCCTGAAGAATTAGCTGGAGAGATAACAATGGTTTGTATTTGGTTGGAGTGCTCACTACATCATGTTTATTTTGGCCAAAACTCACTTAACTATATACTAAAATATGTACATTTCCTATAGGCAAATTACATCTCATAAAACCTTCAGAAACATTTTTTGTGTGTGTGCCCATCCTGGGGCTTGAGTCAAAGTCTGGATACTGGTCCTGAACTTTTTTTGCCCAAGGTTAGTGCTCTACCACTTGGGCTACAGCTCCACTACAGCTTTTTGATAGTTTATTGGAAAGAAGAGTGTCATGGGACTTCCCTGCCCGGGCTGGCTTTGAATCATGATACTCAGACTTCTCAGCCTGAGATCTGAGCAGGTGTGAGCCTCTGGCCCCTGGCAACATCTTAGAAACATTTTAAGTAATAGATGTTGGGTTTAAGTGATTTACTTATTTTTCAGGTAGCTTGGATTCATCTTAGTGTTATTTCTTAAACTCAGTCTGTATAATTCACTATTGGTTCTCTAGAAAACTGGCATTCAGCTCTCTAACCTTGTGTGTGATCAGTATTGGATACATCTATAAGCCCTCCCAACTAGACTCAAGGTGGCTGGCTACCCACATCAGCAGCACACAACACACAGCAGGGACTTCTCTCCGATGATCACCTTCTCAATAGTGTGCAAATTATCAAACACATGCCAATGTTGTTTCTCAGAAGTTGATTACTAGAGTTAACACTGAGAAACAGAATTTCATGGTAGAGAAGAAAGAAGACAATAGAAGGGTCCAGGGTTTGGGGTTCTATTCCCAGTCTACCTCCTCCTGGCCCTATAATTTCAGTAAAACCCTCTAAATTTCTTATGTTTACAATGAAGCAATGATAGCAACAGGATGCAACTGCCCAAGCACTGTGTTACTGATGCAGGAGGAAGAACTAAAGGCATCAATCAAAGCCTGTGATAAAATGAGAATCTCCACAGCATTTATAATGTTATTCCCATTCTTTTATTCAGTACACTATTTCTTTCCCTTACATTCACATTGCACAAACCATGACCTATTTTGAAACCTGTATTGTCAATTTAGAAGTTAGAGATATTTAAACTTTTAGAAACTGTACTGAAACACTGGCTTGAAACTATTCAAATTCTCTGTGGCTTTCATTCTTCTGGACACCAAGATTGGATTTGCACCATTAACTTGGGCTTTGTGTGGGAGAGTGTGGAGTGTGGGACTGTAGGGTGGGGCTAGGGGTATGCTGACATGGGGGCTTGAACTGAGGGCCTGGGTTCTCTCAGCTTTTTCTCTCAAGACTGGGACTCTACCACTTGAACCACCTCTACTTTCAGCTTTTTGCTGATTAATTGGAGATAAGAGTCTCATGAATTTTCCTGCCCAGGCTGGCTTCAAAATGAAAGCGTCAGATCTCAGCCTCCTGAGTAGCTAGGATTACAGGTATAAGCCATCAACTCCTAGCATCTGACATTCAATTTTAAACACAAGGTCTTTCCTGCTCACAGAGAATAAGCCCTGCCCCTTCCTCTCCTCTAAGTCCTTCTTAGTACCTGGGTAACACATTCACCTGCAGAGAGCCAACCCCAGAGCCATCCCATCTGCTGGCAAAGGTCAGGACCAACACTGTGGTCAGGTGAGGCTTCAGCGGGAGAGAGGTGTGTTTGGTTGCTCAATGATCTTCACCTCTTCTCTGGCCTCAGGACCAAATTGTCTCTGGCTAGAGAGAGGTAAGAAAGCTTTAATCAAAATGTGTTGAGCAACCTCATTTCCAGAGCTTCAAGTGCCAGCTAACCATTAGCCTTTCAAATACTACAGAATACAGAAACTCAAGATTCCTAAAAATGTGGTTAGGATCCTAAGACGTCCTAAGATTGCTTTTTGGCAATTTTTTATTGTGATTAAGTGATCACATAAATTTCACAAATTTCACAGTATTGTGGGATAGTGATGCTTAGTTAAAGTCACAAACATATTCTAACCTTCATGGGACAAATTGTCTCTATCATGCTCTATAAAGTTTATGAGTTCTATGAGCTTTGACAATACAGCTATTTCTTCTACATCGGGTGATATGCACATTCCTTTCCTTGTGCTTAGTGTCAGCTGTTCCCTCTTTCCCACTCATTCCCTAAGATATTTTTTTAAATGTCTGATAGAAATGCTTCTAGCTCTTCTAGAAATGCTGACTCCAAAATAGTCCATGGTAGGAAGGATAATATCTAATACATGGAGTAATTTGTACTCCTTAACATTTACATGACATTTTATAGTTCCAAGTGTCCTGTGATCATTAATTACACAGCTTTTACTAGGATTGTGACATAATTAATAGGACAGAAGCCATACCCTAGAACATATTTCAAAAGGACATTCCCAACGAGGAGGGCAATGTTAGCCCCCATGTTCCTGTCAGATTCACAGTTAGGTCATTACTCTCAACCCACTGAAGCCCCCTGCAGTTCTGCACAGAAAGGTATTCTGCCTCAAATCCCTGAGCCCCACAGACAGTGGCTATGCTGCAGCTATGCCAAGAGGACCAGGTCTGTCCTGGGAGCAATCTGTAAGGTGATGTGGGAGAACCCCTACAGGCAACACCAGAACCCTACACCATACTGAGTCCAGGCCTGTAGAGAGAAACCCTTCACTCTGCACAGGCCTATGTTCCATGATCCTGAGCTGGGCTACATTCTGTCTTCAAACAGTTTTTGACTTAACATTGATTTCTTGGAGAGTAGGAAATAAATTTTTGATGCAAGGTCTTGCTATAAAGCTGACTGACCTTGACCTCCTCCTACTTCAGCCTTCCTGATGCTGGGATTATAAGCATGCACCACCACACCTAACAATGTTGATTTCTTAAAAGACATGTTATAAAAACATATGCATGTGTACACGCATATATGCACGTGCCCACACATGCACATACACAACACACACACACACACGCACACACACACACATACACACACACAGAGTGCTACATGGTCAAACACTCAGGATAAATCTGTGCTGCAGACAACAGTGGGCTGGAGAATCCCATCCATCATTCACAGAGCAAGAATAAAGAGCTATTTTTTTCAGCAATTTTATATTCTATGAAGAATTTTTTAAACATACTTTTCTTTTTTAATATTGTCTTCATTAATAATGCAAAGAAAGGCACTCTGATTTTTTTTTTTGGTGCAAAGGGTGTCTAGATGTCAAACCTGACACAAGTGGGAGGTGGTAAATATAAATAATAGGCAGAGCCAGAGGCAGAGACAGAAGTAGCTACTTGCAAGCATTGTGAGCAGGGGCTTGTCTTTCCCCAGACACAGTTTAACCACCCACAGACAGTTGTCCCAAGATGCAGCCCCACCCCACCCTGCCCTGGCCTATGGCCCTTCACTCCATCCCTGCATATATCCAACCACAGCAGGGAGTGGCTCCAAATGAGAGGCCAGGCAGTCTGCGGGGAAGCCTCTCAGCTTTTGCTGGATCATGATGAAACAAAAAAATTTCATAGATGCAATAATGCTGTCATCATAATGTTAGGTTATTTTGTGTCCCCACAAAATGCATTTGATGAAGCCCTAAACCCCAAGTAACTAATTTGGAAATAGGACTTTTAGGAGGTAATTAAGGTTAAATAAAGAAATAACCGTGGGGTGCTAATCCAATAGGATTGATAGCCTTGTGGGAGGAGGAAAAGAAGAAGAAGGAGGAGGAAAAGAAGAAGGAGGAGGAGGAGGAGAAGGAGGAAAAAAAGGAAGAGAAGGAGGAGGAGGAAGTGGAGGAGGAGGAAGAGGAGCAGGAGGAGGAGGAGGACGAGGACCATGTCTTTCCATCATGTCTCTCTGTCTCTGTCTCTTCTTTTATCTGTGTGTGCGTGTGTCCTTCACTCCCTCTTTCTTTTCTCATGCACACCAAAATGGTCATGTGAGGACACAGCAAGAAGGCAGCCATTTGTAAGCCAGGAAGAGAAACCTCCTTAAGACATCAAGTCTTCCAAGGCCTTAATGTTGGATTTCCAGCCTCCAGTACTGTGAGAAGCCAATACCTGCTATCTAACCCACCAGTATTTTGTTATAGCAGCCTCAATAGTCTAATACAGTCATTTTTCAAATGGCATTGTCCCCAATCACTTAACTTTTATTTGTAACTGCTGTAAAGTTGCTATGATTTTTATAGCTAAAATCTTATTCATCAAAACCACATATAGCCACATAGAACTCACTTCTCTAGGAGGCAGTTGGGTTTCTTCTCTGTGCCTAGTGAACACCCTAGACTATGGACATCTAATGTTACGAAGGTCAAGTCCCACACACTAAGCTGACAGCCCAGTACACAGAGAAAATCTAGACAACGAGGGAGAGGATTTTAGGGGCTTGAAACATGGCCTGGCCTCCCACCCCGTCAATCAAAAGTATTTCCTTCTTTAGTGCTGAAAGAATATAATCTTGCATAATCAGGAAAAGAAGTGACTGTTGTTGATACCTTTGTGTTTGATTTACTCAAAAGTCATGACATCCATACAAATTCAAAGGGCATCCCCTGGAGTTTCCTGTTTCTGTGTGTGAGGTGTCTCTGTGTGGGCTGCAGCAGTGCTACTGAAGGAATGGAATACTAAATGAAATGTAGGCAAGGTGTGGCAGGAATGCAAAGTATGGCAAAGTGGCCCATGTAAGACCTTAGGAAAGGTCTTTGGATGTTGGCTCTGACCCCCGCCAACCTGTTGTGCCTCAGCTTCCCAATGTAGATATACTTTGTTGTGGTTCCATTCCCTCTCTGACCCTTTCATTTGCCTGAGCTGACAGGCACAGAGCATAAAGAGACCATTGGCATCCAGGTGGCAGTTCAGAGTATCTCTCACGGTGCTGACAGGGAGTTTAGCTAGCCTGATGCTAGATTTCACAAAGATTAGGACATTTCACAAGAATTGGAATTTACAGCCTTGCAAACAAATAAACAAATAAATTTACAAACAAATAAGCACCACCACCAACAAAAAAGTGTGGCCATTTGAACCCATGCTCAGAAACAGTAACTTCTTTGGTCAAGCCATGGCTCTTGTTTCCAATTCCCAAAGCAAGAAAACCATAGAAGTTGCTTGCTGGACCTGAGAGGCATTGTGTTTCCAGCCTCACCATAGTAAATTTCTTTTTCTTCCTCATTCAGAACCATTTGCCTCAGCAACCTAACCAGTTAATTACGTTCTGTGACTGTGATACACAGCTATAGGCATTGTACATGAATCTATGAATTTATTCAAAGATCTCCTAGGGAGCGAAACAGCTCTGAGCATCTTGTTTGGAATAGAATTCAAAGGTCTTGACTCACCATTCAAGAGTCCACTTGGGCTCTGCCTTTTTGCTGTATACCTCTCACAGGCTATTCTCATTCTGGACCTCTATCCACACAGGGCTTTCAGTCTCCATCAGCCTCACCCCAAAATACCACACACCTAACTAGATGCATTTTGGGTGGCTCGGCCAATTGTTCCCTCCCCATGTTCAGCCTTTTCAGATTGTTTTCTTCTCTAATACGCCCCCTTTGAAAACCAAACAGAAACAAAGCAGAGAGCAGCTACTACTCAGAATGTCCTGAGCTGTCCATATAAAATCCTTCCCTTCACACCCAGCACCTCTCCCTTTCAGCCTGGCACCCACACATAAGTACTAACTCTTTGTGGCTGGTGTTTTGATGCCTGGGTCTTGGTGACCTTGAAGCCTACCCTTCCCAGGGATAGCTCTGTCCTAAAGATAGCAAATGACAGGCCTGTGCACATGCCGTTCAAATGCAGGCTAACCAATCCAGAACCCACACCCCCAACTGGTTCCTCCATAAGGCTCTCATACCACTGGCTAGTGGTTCCCTCACTAGCCACCCCAGGGCCAGGTGCCAGATGACTGAAGACAGTCCTTTGGCATCAGGGCCCACTAAAATTACCCAAATTGGCGAATCCTATCCCAGTTTGCCTGTGTATCCTGCCTCACCCATTCCTTCCTTGGTAAACCACAATCAGGGTTCTTGTCTACATTTTTCTATTACTCTTTCCTCGCTGATCCCTGGGGCTTTCCCTGTGACATGATGTGCCCCTGCCCCTTGGAAACTATGTGCAAATTTTAATGGTGATCAGCTGTTGATCTGTAATGCTCACCATACCTGAAGCTGGGTGGGAGCCAATAGACAGTTAGGCTAGTGATGGATGAAGAAAACAAGAGAGCAGAAGAAGAAGGGACCAATTTCCCCTATGCCAGCAGCCCACTCTACAGTGGCTTTTGTACCAAGGGCTATAGGCAGGCAGTACCCAACTCCTCCCTGCCCCACCCAGCTCAGGATACTAATAGTTCCCCAAGCACTAAGCAGGAGTTACTACTGATTTCTCACTCATCTGATGTGTACTCTGCCTTCTGCAGGAGGGAAAGTGACACTAAAGGCTAATGACCCTTTGGCTCCTTTGGAGCTACAACCAGAGGTCAGCCCTGTGTCTGCTACCATTAGCCTCAAGTGGGTAGCCTGTCTGCAACACAAGCCAGCAGAGAGAGAGGACATCAAGGCCAGGCTTTAGAGGATATGGTCCATGTGGAAACCTTGACCTGTCACTATGCAGTCGTTTTCTTGTTTATGCTCTCAGGAGCCCATGGGGAGCACCGAGGGCCCAGGCTCCTGTTGCCAGCATCCTGGCATGCTGCCCTGCACATGGCTTCCAGGGCTGTAATCCTGCAGCTGGCCAGC